TTTATTTTCAGCTTATTTGATATATTTCATGAATGAAAATCATGTTTTTTTTAATTTTGGCAATTATTCGATTGTCCTGTTAACAACTGTTAATTCTTGCAAACATTTTAATTATATGAGTCAAGTGACACAAACTAATTATGTATATATATCAACTTACATAGATAGGTTCAGCAAAAACGACTTACAATTAATTGCAATTTTAGAAAAAAAAATCAACAAAATCTTTAAGCAGATTACATTTAACATTGTACAATAATGTTGAAATTTTAAACACGTCAAAATTATGTTTAATGTAGAAACAACGGCACGATTTCACTCACAGCCATACAAAGTGTTTGCCTTGCGCGTAGAAGAAAACGTTATAATAGCATTTAACTTTCCCGCTTACTACACAGTTTACATATAAATGCCCTTATTTTCACTGAACGATAAAAACACAAAGCACTAGTGGATAAGTTAAACAACTTAACAATCTATTATCCAAAAAAGGCTCTAGTAAGAACATTAAAAATGAGATCTAAATACGTTTACGAAAAATAAAGTACGTTTCAATCAATCACTACTATCACTGCCACAGACTTGAGAGATCTACATCTTTAAAGGCACACTTCAACTTTGTCCCCTACAGGAACGAAAGCTTTACAAAAGTGCCCAATATGAATAAAACTTTTTATACTAGCGCCTTACCTTCGCCTCACTCTAGTACGCGAATTTTATTCAGAATTTCATGGGCTTTAATTTTTTTCCGCAAAAACCTGATTCTTTTTCTAAAATAAAAGTAGGTAACCTACGTTACTCCTTATAAAATGAGCTATCTGTTGATGAAAGTCCCGTCAAAATCGGTCCAGCATTTCAGAGATTAGCCGGAATAGACAGACAGATAGATAAAAAAAAATGTTTTTTTTTTTCTTATAAGTACCGTATATATGTATGTACTTTCAATTTCATATGTATTTAGTAAAAAGCTGTTATTTTGACATTACAAACAGATACTTCAATTTTATTTATTTGTATAGATAACATCACTTAGATTACAATACCAGGATACAGGTAAGGCAGAAGCAGTATTGTTTTAACAAACTACTTGTGCTACAGGGAAAACTAGTACTGGAAACAATAAAATCAGCTGAGCGGAGGCTGGACTTAGGTCGTCGCCCTCTACACCTCGCAATCGATAACGTGGAGATCATCGTCCCGCTAACAGGCCTACCGTCAAGTTCACTCTAACAATAAGATAATGAGTTCTTATTAAATAATACTTGCTTTAGTATTATCATATATTTTTTTACTTGTATACAAAAGTAAAAAAATATCTTTTTGCTGATATCTCTGCAGTAATTACTCATGGCTTAACAAAGGCAATGTAAATGAGATCGTTGACTGCAAATCTTCCATTCTTAGAAACCTTAACTCATAAGCTTCTTATATGTAAGCTTCTAAAATATTTGTAGTATTCTAATAGGTATGTTATAAATTTTCACGGCTTCGCTAATTCTAAATACTAAAAACTTAATGTATGTTGATTCTATTTTACTTTTGTATATACGATAGATTTTTGAGAAGTTAATAAGCATATAATTTACATTATGATAATTTTGCTAAAAATATGCAAATTACCACGAAATATCCCACAATTATGTTGTATACAATACATGAACATGTCATACTTATGTATGTATTTCCTTCGATCATTGTCTCTGACGCAGTAGCTGTGGTTCGTAATTAGCAAGAATCTACCTTGTTTGACGAATGACCGATGCAATACGATGATTCATAAGACTTTAAGCACAACGAAAATGTTTACATTCTTCATTGTTTAAAATCTATACATATAATAAAATTGTAACTAAGCCGAATCTGTACATTAAATATTTATTTATTAAATTTTTGGAAAATCTTATTGAAATAAACATTATTATCGACACAGAGGCCGAATCTATAGTTTTTAGAATTTTTGTCTGTCTGTCTGTTACCGCATCACAGCAAAACCACTGGAGGGATTTTGATGAAATTTGGTATGGTGATAGCTGATTATCCGGGTCAACATATAGGATACTTTTTACCACGGGATAATATCTTATTTCTGAGAAAAAATACAAAAACTGCAATGTAAGAGTATACTAATATACAATATAAGAGTATACTGCAATGTAAAGAGTATACTAATATGTAAAACCTAAGAATTTGGTTTTTATATGTAAACCTAAGAATTTTGGGTTTATTTTGGCAATGCTAGTAGTTAATAAAAAATAAAGTGACTTGTTGCACAAGTGTATTTTTATTGTATACTAAGTTTTTCAATTTTAAAGCAAATTGAAGCCTGAACTAAATCAGCATATCTTTTTAGATCACCCTAGATCCGAGCCAATTACCTAGAGTATCTATTATAACAATTATAACACTTCGCGTTACACCACGCTGACTAAGGAGAAACATTTGTAAACGAGAACTTAAATGGTTTTACGTTAGAAGTTGTTACGCAAATTTTATTATTTCATTCACATGTTACATATTATGTTACATGTTACAAATGTTAAGTTATTATTAAATCTAATTATGATATATTCGTAAAGCGTTAAAAGTAATACCCAGTCTCTAATACAAGTAGGGGGTTTTTCCCAGAGAGTAGCTGCGCTTGATACATAAGATAAGCACAGCTCTCTATTCTTTACGATGTAATAATATTTGGGTAAGTTGTGAACGCCAATGTAAACAATTTTAACTGTAATTTTTAATAAAAAATATTATGCAATTCATTAACCACTGTCAAAAATATCTTTATGCGAATATAATTAATTTTGACGATAAATTGAGTATAAATCCTTAAATCTGACGAGACAACTCTTGCGCACGACTTGCTGCCTAGAGCATCGCGACCTATCCCACTTAGGCCCGGGGCAGCGACAAATTGATTGATAGAGTTATATATGTAGTCCAATGGCGTACAATTACGTGTATGTAACGTTAGAAAATAAATTTAATTGATAGTAATTTCTATTTCTAATTACATAAGACAAATTTAGTGCATACTTATATAAAAACTTGACAAATATTTGTATTTTCAAAGTAGGTCTTTCAAGCTTCGCCATTTGGAGAGATAATTTACTAAAATATAGCAATATTATTCAAATCTTAATTTTTTATTGATATCGTATAAAACTAAACGAATTTGGGTGTTGATTTAATTTGCATTGTAGATAGAAATATTACCTAGGTTACTTTTTACTTTAGAATGTACGCTAAAATTATTTGAATCAATCTTATTGGTCTAATGAGTTATTCCTCGTTTAAATATTTAGGAAATAAATCTAGAGCATGAATGTTAACGATACTTGTAATAATTTAGTACTTACTAATATTTAAAATTAACGCGAAAAAATATCCCGTAAGCAGGTCTACTACAGAGACTAGTGGTAACTATAAAAAATCCTTAATACTAGGTGGTTATTTAAACTTTCTTATTCTCACGTATGCATAACAAAAGAGTTACACATACATACATATATACATACATACATACATATACATACATACATACATACATACATACATACAAACATACATATATACATTACTATTAGATACATAGTCATATAAAAGGTCACACTTATTGTAAAACAAAAAGTTGTATCATTTTACGTGCATTTGTATTCTCTTCTAAAGACAATTTCATGTAAGAATTCTTAAACGTACATATGGATAACTGTATACATTATTTAAAGCCTTGACCTGCATTACTAACGATATAGGAGATACCTTTAAGACGCTTCATACAATTGACTGAAGAGAAAAAAAGAGTTGTTCTTTTTGCGTGGAATACTAATGTTTTAAAATAAATACAATTTATTATTCATACGAAAGACGCTAGTTCGAAAAAAACTACTGGAAAATTATATTATTAAATATTCTACCGCATACTTACACAAGGTGACATTATTTTTTTAATTAACACTTTCATGTACTTCACATGCTTGTCGAGCATTTAATAGTAGATAGGTACATCTATATTATTCTATATAACGGACGAACAGACGGATCGATTTGCTCCTTTTTAAGTGTCCGTAATAGTACGAATAAAGTTATTAGAGAATCAACTGAAAACTTGAGAAATTCGGGAAAACGCCTGTTCCGTAACTTTTTTCAAGGAAATCATAACTTTTATTGAAATTTGGATAGCTCAAATTTTGCCGGGTTAGCTAGTAGTATAATACATATACGTGTTATATGTACATATAATAAGAAGGTACGAAAGTACTAATGTACCTACTACTATATAAGTTATACCTAAAAAGTTATAAGTATGTATAACTAAATTATATAGTAGTACATTAGTGGTTAGATATTTACCAACTGTAGAATTTATTTAGACTTAATATATAAGAATATTATTTTTAGATTTGGTTATTGGCATAAGTTAATAATACGCGTATTTGAATACTCATGATTAATAACGTGAAATACTAGTTACTAAGTTTGTAATACAAATAACAGAGCGTGTGTATTGAACATTGATTCATCATCGTATGATTTATGGAGATGAGACATCTTTTTCGTAGGAAAAAGGTCCCTTTTATTGGAAATATATACTTATATTTTTTTATTTACTAATTTATAGTTTTAATATAGGTTCTTTAAAATACAATATAATATTTTTGTTAGGCACACCAAGCAAAAAAAACCTTATTAGTAAGGTCGATTTTTTTAAGTTATTAAAATGTTACAGTGAGTTGTAATGTGTGCGATCCTGCGACACCCCAGTAAGGTTCGTTTGGTTTTAGTGGGTAGTACTAGCTTTGATGGTGAATCCCACATAACCACCTGTATGTACGCAGGTAGTATGCGTAAATGCATTTCCCAATGTTAAAAAAAGTAAGTCGTCTGACAATAAAAGCAGTTTGATTAATGATAACTTAGTTGTACACTTCTTCAGCATATTTGGATGCTGAGTCCAGTCGTCAGCGCAGTCAACATAGCCACTAGCCAGGAACGCAACTAACCTTGACGTACCATCGCGTTTGGGACTTGCGATTCCTGGTGCGGCGGCGGTCCTGGCTGCGCGAGTCGCGTTGGTGGGCCGGCGAGCGCAGCGCGTGGCACTTAGCCGCCAACGCCTTGGTACGCTCCGCCAACGAATGACGGAACTCCCCACCCGCACACCCCCGCACCAGCATCGCTTAACCACACACTGAGCACGCACTTATCCTCTCCAGAATAGCAAAACTCATTATTTATCACTAGTCTTTACTTCTGAATCTCTATCAATTAAAATAACAAAGCCAAGTTTAAAACGTGTTCAACCGATTCTTACCTATCATTGTCTTAATTATACTGATTTTTAATGGTTTTTCTCACGTTACGTAAATACATAAGTAGATTTTCCGGTTTATACTTAGTTGATAAAATTAAAAACATAAAATTATGTCTAACATTAAGATGCTAAGTAAATAGTTATAATTCTTGTATTAAAAACTAAATGTCTTTAATCTTGGGATATTCATAAAACTTACTATAATAGACACATCATAATGAGAGTAATTTAATCGTCGATGCCTATATGTAAGTTCAATCTGATAAATAACTAATATTTTGTATTGTATTGTACAATACAAAATATTATTTATATTTATGTTTATTATGTATACTAATATAATTTATAAAGAGATAAAGTTTGTGACATTGTAGAGGAATCTCTGCATCTACTGAACCGATTTAGATGTTTGGTAAGAAAATAGTTTGAGAACCTGGGAAGGACATAGGATACTTTTTATCCCGGAAATCATCCATTAAGGGGGTGGCAATGGGGATGAAAGATTTTATGGGGAATCAAGCTAGGTAATACGAACCCGAACGAAGCTAGTTAGTTATAGTTAGTTAGTTTTCGCTAGTTATTTATAATTCAATCCGATAAATACTATTTAATTTCTTTTAACTTGTCGGTGCAAGGTCTAGGTCACTAGCTTTGAGATAAGGTTGGAAATACCACGCTTTGAAGTATAACATGATATTTATATCATAATATGATAACGTCTACTTTAGCAACGCAGTTGACATTTATCAAAGGACGTCAGTCAACCCATTGAATATTACGAAAATTATATGTTCATATTTATAACAAAACTTCTTCAGTTTTATGCATTACGTGAAGACCTAAGAGAAAATTATTATTATTAATCATTAACTAAAATATAATTGAATTATAAAGGAATATGTAATACATTTATGCGTTTTGAGTACGTGCATGCGTACACAGATGCAATAAAGGGAATATCCTAATTGTGGAGCTACCGACTTCTGTGATGCTTGTAACTCAATCGGAACCATATAAAAGGCACGCGAGACTATAAATAACTTTGGTATGCTGCATTGATTCATATTAAAGTTGTCGTTTAATCCCTCCACGACCGCGGACACGCCGGCGTGTCAGTTAACAATAGATTTCTTAGAATTTTAATTAATTGCTTAGAAATTTACTTGGAGATGTTAAGAAAACTTAGAGAAATAAATGTTTTATCATATTTAATCTTTAAAATCATGTTATACATGCATATTTAATAACTCTACTGCGATTTGGTTACGATTTTACTTTATTTTTTTTTATCTTTCCCGTAACCATGTGGAAAGCATTCGAAATGTCGGGAACAAAAATATAATGCAAGACGGCAAAAAATTCAAAAAGTAGTACCCACATAGTTTTCATTTTAAAAATATAAAATTTTGACGTTAGTCTATAAATATCTTCTATATCCAGAAATCTAATTAAAAATGAGTTAGTAGCACTAAAAAATGTCCAAGTACCAAGTAGGTTGACGACTACGGAGGAAATTAGGTAATTGAGGAAGGGAGCGGTACACAAGTTACCTTGCGTCTTATATGGACTGAACTACTTATGTTTCGTAATTCTAGTCGAATTTGAACACTCAATTCCTGTTGACATGTTTGTATCAATTGATATCTTTACAAATGAAGCGTAGCCTTAGCTTACATATTGTAAATAACAAAGTATATTTGTTTTTCAATAGTTTCGTAGCGTACATCGTATTCAATATAACCTATGAATAGCATATTGAGAGGAAAAGAACTAAAACTGATAATCACTGAACTGAATATCATATATTACAATGTTATTTTATTTTATGATGCCGCTAACATTGCAAAAAAAAAACAACAAATATTCGAGTCTCGCAAACCAAAGTATCTAAGACCTGGCAGATAAGAACAACTGATAATACCAACTATTTATATTATTATAATGAAGTAATGACAATACACCAAAATAATATGGCTAATAAAGAAACAGAGTTAAACCTGGACAACATTATGTATTTTAAAGAGATAAGAACGCACCTGGCGTGCCAGATGCATAATATTGAACTGTCCAAAATACTTGTCAAACAAATTTGGCTCGTAGTGCATTACGAAAACAGGTCTTTTAATAAAATTATAACGAGTGGACAGGTGGTGCAAACCATTTGTCCGGTGAGATTTTTTTGTTTGTATGTCTTCAACCTAAAATCCTGTGTCGAATTTTTTTATTATTTCTTAACATACATTAATAAATTAGGCATTTCACTATATAACGTGTAATTAAATATTTTTAATGCAACATGGCTAAAACGTATGTACCTGACATTTTTTTTTTTAACCTGTGTATAAATACTAAAATATAAATACAATATTAAATAAATTAAAGTATTTTCTATTATATACTATTACTCTAATAATAATTTATTATTAATTTTAATTATTATTAAGTATTAATAAAATAATTTATTATATAATATTTACTCCACAACTAAACTTGGTCCCGCTTTACAATAATACAAATTTGGTAACTCTCTTTTAGATCTACTTTGAAGTTTGAGTACATTCAAATAAAACTATGTTTTTAATTCTTACTCGAGGGAGAAATTCGAGCCCCTGTCAAGTGATTCGTGAGTAAATAGATTGAAAAACTTAAAATTCTAAAAAGGCGGATTTTTGCATAAGTTAAATTATTTAATGTTTTCCTTGACAGATTGTGATCTTAGATATCTTGAATTGAAAATATATTTCATATTTTATTACCCTTAAACAGAAATGGACCTAACAATAATATATTTTATAATGTTTTGTATGTAAATCAACTGTCCATTTTTAACCGACTTCAAAAAAAGGAGGAGGTTTTTTAAATACAATTCTATACTATCTTTCTAGCAAATGAAACTATCGACGTAAACCGGTAATACCTGAACATTTGTCAGCCTGATTGTTGACACCCTTTTCGATCTAGATAGTGAACACTTTTTAAACTTGGCATTGACTACATTATTTCATTATTTACCTAGACGTTATTACCATGTAAATGGATAGGTATCTTCAAAAACAGGCACTTATCAAAAAAAATATTCTCACTTATCCATTTTCACTTGTAGACACTTGAAACAACTATTTCTTTTGATCTTTCAACACAATTTTAAATAATATAATAATTTTATTTTATAGTTAGCACAGAACCGCGTTTTACTTGAATCGAATTTTTAAATAAGCCCTCCCATAGACCGTGTCCACCGCCCGGTACGCGACGTCTGCGGTCTGACACTGGCTCAGTGCTTCGCACTCTGTCGCACATGGCATCGCGACCGACAAGAAGTACGCATGTGCGGAACGAGGCTTTTCCGAATCATCAATGATGTCACATTATATATTATTATTACTACGTCTTTAATCTATACGTAGAATATAGTAGGACAATTCTGATAAGCCATGACGCGATCTTCGTCTTATGACAACACTAATACTTCCTTTGCTATATTTTATTTACTTTATTCTCAGCCGAATAATAAAACTGGAACTCTTATATTTTCGTCGTTTTCTTTTCGTACTATCTATGTATAGAGATAAATAAAATTGAAGTGTCTGTTCGTAATGTCAAAATAACAGCGTTTTACTAAATGCATATGAAATTATATAAGTACGGTACTTATAAGAAAAATACATTTTTTTATTTTTTGTCTGTCTATCTGTTCCGGATAATCTCTGAAACGGCTGGACTGATTTTGACGGGGCTTTCATTGAAAGATAACTGATGTTTTATTTTAGAAAAAGAATTAGGGTTAAAGAATTAGAATTAGGGTGAGTCGCTAGTATTGTACTAAGAAACAAACTATTGAAAAGTTCCATATGCCTGGCTTCATTGTCAGATCAGTTCGTGATACCAAAGTATTGTAGGTACTGTCACCGGAAGGAAATACGTATATTTCCAAAAATTTTTACTACATTTGTTAATATACTGAAAATTAGATTGGCTTTTTTAATTTTCTCGAAAATGGTATGCTGCATTTAAAAAAAAATATATGGGACTTCATCGGGACCTGTACCAGAATACAGGAAATCAGTGAACATACAAAAAAACTAACGTCAGACATAGTAACTACTTCATTTTTGAATTTTGAAGATGGTCAAAAACTAAATAGTGCATAAAAGGGGTGGCAACCCCTCAAATAAACACAAATACAAACATAATATGAATACTATTGTATTTACGTTAGGGGACGTCACAAAAATGTTGCCAGGAATAGTGCGTTAAAATCATCGTGTCGATCAAAAATAACTATTATTGATCGATGATTGGAATAAGCAAAATACCTTACTCAAGAGTAAAAATAATTTATGAATGATTTGGTGCGATAGATAAATAAACTAAATCAAAAAATTTATTTTAATAATCATGCAGGTATGTATAAGTATATTGTACATAATATACACATACCCAATTTTAGAAATTACTAAATAGCTTGTTATCACTTGTCTAGATCACGCCTAGGCATTGATGAAAGAGTCAGGACCAGCAAACAATTTATGCGTGTTTGTGTATTTGTTATATTTTTACGCAAAAACTACTTAACGGAATTTGATGAAACCTTACACTAATGTAGCTTATATATCAGAGTAACGAATAGGCTATAATATAATATAAAAATAGAGTAATACATAATTATTGAAACGACAAAGTTTCGGGAAAACGCTAGTATATGTATAAAATAATAATATATACATATAATATACATGTATAGATAACGTGATTTTTATTGAACTAGCATTGCCCGTGGCTCCGCCCGCGTTCAGATGACCAAAAACCAAATAAAATAGCGCTATTGTAATTTTTTTTCAAGATAAGCTATTTTTAATAGTT